CTTTGGCATTAAGCCAATGCCTCATTGGTGATTTTTTAGATTAATTTGTCTTTTGTTTAATTTATCTCATCTGACTATCATTTAAACGTGGTAGTAGCTTAAATGGTAAAAAGTGACGCACAAGGGTGGATCAATTTTCAACTTTATGTTTAATAAAAGAAGTAGCTTACTGTTCTTTGGTTATCTAGTTGAAAGACAATGCTGATGTGGTCTACAGTTATTCTATTATGCCATTGCTTTGAATGTTAGATTAGTTGTAGTTAGTGACGGTTCTTGGAACACAGGTCTAGCAAGTGGGACTACCGGAGGAGAGTTACCAGCAGAACAATTGGAGATCATATTTTTATGGACGGGGGACCAATGTTAAAAGTTTCAAAGTTTGGCAACAAACTTTGAAAAATGTTTTTTTCAAAGTTTGGTAAATGTTTCTTTGAAAAATGTTTTTCAAAGTTTGGTAAAATTTTGGTAGATGTTTGTTGAAAATAGGAATGGGTAAATTCACTTTAGTCATTGCACTTTAGGGTATTTTCAAAGATTAGTCCCTAAGTTTCTACTATAAATACCCTTACCCATTTAGCTTCAAAATCATCCCAAAACATTTCTTTCTTCCTATACTAGAGAACTTTCTTGTGAGTAGTGAGTGTTTTGTAAACACCTGTAAATTTTCTCTCTTAGTAAAAGATCTGCAGCAGCCCGGAGACGTAAGCACAATTGGCTGAACTCCGTTATCAATTTTCGGGTATTATTTTTCCGCTTTTATTTCGCATTCTCACTAATCTGGTTATAGGGAAATTACTTGTACTCGGTTTATTTTCCTAACAATTGGTAATCAGAGCTTTTGGTTGTGAATTTTGTCAAATTTTCTGCGAGGTTACTATTCATTACTATTCACGTGAATAGTGAATTTCGTGAATAGTGAAATTCGGTCGGCGATACGAGTTTGTCGACGGTGGTGTTCTAATACACGGTGATTCGCAAGAATTGTCAGAAACGATCCAAACGAAGCCAGATTCGAGTGGGAGCGATGGCTGCAGACGAAGGGAAGGTGAAAATTGAAAAGTTCGATGGTGCAGACTTTGGCTTTTGGAAGATGCAGATTGAATATTTTTTGTACCAGAAAAATCTATATCAACCTCTCTCAGGAAAGCAACCAGAGGGCATGAAGGATGAAGATTGGGCTCTTCTCGACAGACAAGCCCTCGGAGTTATCCGACTGACGTTATCCCGCAATGTTGCTTTTAACATAGCAAAGGAAAAGACCACGGCGGGTCTTATGGCGGCTCTCTCCAGTATGTACGAGAAGCCATCGGCCTCAAACAAAGTTCATTTGATGAGGCGATTATTCAATTTGCGGATGGCGGAAGGGGCATCGGTGGCACAACACCTAAATGAACTCAACACAATCGCAACCCAGTTGAGTTCAGTGGAAATTGAGTTCGATGATGAAGTTCGAGCTTTAATTCTCTTATCATCTCTACCAGACAGTTGGAATGCTACTGTTACAGCAGTCAGCAGTTCGTCGGGAAACAACAAATTAAAATTCGACGATGTTCGGGATCTGGTATTGAGTGAAGAAATTCGACGAAGAGAATCGGGTGAAGCATCAACCTCCTCAGCCTTACACACGGAGTCTAGAGGGAGAACTTCAGAAAGAAATTCAAATCGTGGCAGATCAAAATCTAGAAGGGGCAAATCAAGAACAGGAAATAAAGATTTTACCTGTTATAATTGCGGCAAAAAGGGTCACTTCAAAAGAGATTGCCGAGCACCGAAGAAAAATACCGGCGCACAGGAATCTGCCAACATGACGGAGGAGACAGGTGATGCCATGATTTTAAGCGTCAACAGTCCGATTGAATCATGGATCTTGGATTCAGGGGCATCTTTCCACTCCACCCCATGCCGAGAAATCATGGAGAACTATGTCAGTGGTGATTTTGGGAAGGTTCATCTAGCTGATGATGAAACCTTGAAGATCGTCGGAAAAGGAGACATCCGACTAAAGCTGCCAAACCAGACCACCTGGAAGCTGACAGGAGTGAGACATATTCCTGGCCTCAAAAGAAATCTGATTTCTGTTGGGCAGCTTGATGGAGAAGGATATAGTACAACTTTTTCAGGCTGTGAATGGAAGATTACCAAAGGAGCACTCGTCATTGCTCGTGGTAAGAAGACCGGTACTCTCTATGTAACCTCAAATTTAGAGAATATCATTGCAGTAGCAGATGCTGATGGAAAATCAAACCTATGGCACCAAAGGCTCGGCCATATGAGTGAGAAAGGAATGAAGATACTTCTGTTAAAAGGGAAGCTGCCGGATCTAAAGAATGTAGATGTCGGACTATGCGAGGATTGCATCTTTGGAAAACAAAATAAAGTCAGTTTTACAAAGATTGGCAAGACTTCCAAGGCAGAAAGGTTAGAATTGGTTCATACTGATGTATGGGGACCATCCCCTCCATCTCTTGCAGGCTCACTATTATGTCACCTTCATCGATGATTCAACAAGGAAGGTGTGGGTTTATTTCTGAAGAAGAAATCAGAAGTGATACCTTCAGAAAATGGAAGGCCAAAAATGAACTGGTTTGAAAGTCAAGCGGTTGAGGTCCGACAATGGAGGAGAGTACAGAGACAGTAGTTTCAGAGATTTCTGCGCAAACAATGGGATCAAGATGGAGACAACAGTTCCCATAACACCGCAGCAGAATGGCGTAGTAGAGCGCATGAACAGAACTATGAATGAACGTGCCAGAAGCATGAGGATACATGCCGGATTGCCCAAATTTCTATGGGCTGAAGCTATCAACACTGCAGCTTACCTGATCAACCGTGGGCCCTCAGTTCCTTTGGATGGCGGAATACCAGAGGAAGCTTGGAGCAAGAAAGAAATAAACCTTTCACACTTAAGAGTGTTTGGTTGTATTTCTTATGTACACATAAACTCTGCTGAAAGAAGTAAACTTGATGCCAAGTCCAACAAATGCGTCTTTGTTGGTTACGGTGGTGATGAGTTCGGTTACCGGTTTTGGGACTACGAAAATCGAAAGATCATCAGAAGCAGAGACGTCATTTTCAATGAAAATGTGATGTACAAAGATAGGTCAACCGCAGAATCAAGTAATACCGAAGCTGAAACAAAGGAATTTGCTGAGTTCGAGGATATTTCTGGAAATGATGTTCAGATCAATCCTGAAGCAGTTCAAGAAGAACCACACACACCAGAACTGAGACGCTCCTCCAGAATTCCTAAACCAACCCAACGGTATTCGCCTTCTTTGCACTATTTGTTGCTGACTGACAATGGTGAACCAGAGTGCTATGATGAAGCAATGCAGGTGGAGGATTCAGTCAAGTGGGAGTCTTCCATGAAAGATGAGATGGACTCGTTTATGTCAAATCAGACTTGGGAATTAGCTGAATTACCACCAGGCAAGAAAGCGCTCCATAACAAGTGGATTTACAGGATCAAAGAAGAACATGATGGGAGAAAACGCTACAAAGCAAGATTGGTTGTCAAAGGTTTTCAGCAAAAAGAAGGCTCAAACATGCAAGAGATCATAAACTTGAAGCAAAAATTGTCGAAGCAGTTTGCTATGAAAGATCTGGGCGCTGCAAAGCAGATTCTTGGGATGAGGATCAAGAGAGACACAAAGTCGGGGACTTTGATGTTATCGCAGGCTGAGTACATCAACAAAGTACTCTCCAGTTCAACATGCAAGATGCTAAACCAGTAAGTACACCTTTAGGTGTTCATTTCAGACTCTCCAAAGACCAATCACCAAAGACGGAGGAAGAACGTGCACACATGGTGAAGGTGCCGTATGCCTCAGCAATTGGAAGTCTGATGTATGCCATGGTTTGTACCAGACTAGATATTGCTCATGCAGTGGGAGATGTTAGCAGGTACATGAATAATCCGGGCAAGGTACACTGGGAAGCAGTCAAATGGATCCTCAGATATCTTCGGGGTACCACAAACAAAGCACTTTGTTTCAAAGGTGGAGATATGATACTGACAGGCTATGTAGATGCTGACTTAGCCGGAAATGTCGACATCAGAAGGAGCACTACAGGGTATGTCTATACTCTAGGAGGAACTGTAGTGAGTTGAGTTTCTCAACTACAGAAGATAGTTGCTCTCTCCACAACTGAAGCAGAATATGTCGCTGTTACGGAAGCCAGCAAGGAGATGGTTTGGCTCCAAAGTTTCTTGGAAGAGTTAGGCAAGAAACAAGAAAACAATATCTTGTATTGCGACAGTCAAAGTGCTATCCATCTAGCAAAGAATCCGTCTTTTCATTCCAGGACAAAGCACATACAATTGAGATATCATTTTCCAGTCTCTTCTGGAAGATGGGATTTTGAAACTTGAAAAGATTAGTGGAGCTCAAATCCGGCAGACATGTTGACAAAGACGGTGACTACGGACAAACTGAAGTTGTGTTCAGCTTCAGTTGGCATGCTAGAATAACAAGACCAGACATGCTGCTGCATTGATCGAGGTGTGAAGACATATTAAAATCAGTCTTCAAGTGGGAGATTGTTAAAAGTTTCAAAGTTTGGCAACCAACTTTGGAAAATGTTTTTTTCAAAGTTTGGTAAATGTTTCTTTGAAAAATGTTTTTCAAAGTTTGGTAAAATTTTGGTAGATGTTTGTTGAAAATAGGAATGGGTAAATTCACTTTAGTCATTGCACTTTAGGGTATTTTCAAAGATTAGTCCCTAAGTTTCTACTATAAATACCCTTACCCATTTAGCTTCAAAATCATCCCAAAACATTTCTTTCTTCCTATACTAGAGAGCTTTCTTCTTGTGAGTAGTGAGTGTTTTGTAAACACCTGTAAATTTTCTCTCTTAGTAAAAGATCTGCAGCAGCCCGGAGACGTAAGCACAATTGGCTGAACTCCGTTATCAATTTTCGGGTATTATTTTTCCGCTTTTATTTCGCATTCTCACTAATCTGGTTATAGGGAAATTACTTGTACTCGGTTTATTTTCCTAACAGTGAAGGCATTCGTCGAGTCAGCTGTCTAACTGATCCTGTAAAGAAGTGTCTGGTATTGCTATTCATCAGAGTTGATCTCTTGATCATTAGTGTTGCCTTGCTTTCTTTCTACTCGTTTGAAGACATTCAATGATTCTGTAGGTGTGCACCAAAGCTTCAGAGCCCGGTAACAAAAACCAAAGGCTTAATACAAGCATAACTATTAGTTATTCTAAGCCTTCAGGAAGATGCACCATTCTAATAGGTGCTGGAAAGTAAGTAGAAGGTTACTTTAATGAGATAAAATGCTCTTACAATTATTTTAGTTTGTGGCATTTGACTGTTTTTTTTAACCTCTGAATAGTTATTAGTTAACAAGTACAAGGAGAATGAAAAAATAAAGTGCATAACAGATTCAATAAGCGAACTGATCCTTTCCTCTCAGTCAAAAGAAAAAAACCAGTCGAAAGTTTCAACTCAAAAGTATTATTGGTTGATTAAATGCCTGAACCGGGGATAACCTTTCCAAAATTTGATGTGCATATCATGTTCTTGCCTTCTTGGTCATTATTGCTAAACTTGTTCTTTGAAACCACAAATATAACTGCCCAATTGGCTGCTAAATTGTTGCTTTGCTTCTTTAATCCCCAGATGATTCTCGAATGTTTTCTCAACTGTTGGCTTTATTTTGTAGGTTTTTCTACCACAGTGCTCTTCAATGGTTTCCAACATATGGGTTAGTTTTTGCTCATTCTTGAAATTTTATATATAATACATATAGATATGGGAAACTCCATGTTGATCACAGTGAATTCTGATCATTGAAGGGAGAAATTCTAGCCTTTGTGGTAATCTTAGAAATTGGATGTACTTGTCGAAATTTTTTTGGTAACTCCAAGATGGAATGTGATCTAAATGTGTTAATATCGTACTATTTCTTTTGCTCCAATGGCTAGGCTATAACATGGGGATAGTCCTCTTTCTATCCCAGTCTTTGTGGTAATCTTAGAGTACTCATGGATATTTCTTTTTCTTTTCTTTGAACTTTCCCCTGTTTTAGTCCCATACACCTTAAGATGATTGGATATCCATGGAATTTACTCGATTGCTGTACAACTTTTGTATTCTTTCATTCATAGTAATTGTATTTCGAGTGACTGTTCAGTTT